TGAGTCAAAAGATATTCATGAACCATAATACTGTGGGAAGAAAATGTAAATTTTCCTTTAGGGGAAAAATGCTTTGTGATATGATTCCAGCATTGAGTCACCAAAAGTAACCTTCAAGTAGTCCATTTGAGACAACTAACTGCTTAAAATCACCTACAGGCAGTCACCAAGTTACAAACAAGATAGGTTCTGGAGGTTTGTTTTAATTTTAATTTGTTTATAAGTCGGATCAGGTACATTTTAAAGCGTAACTCCAGTCAAAAATATATATTCTTTAGCGGTGGATAGCATAGGAAAGGGTTAACCCCCCTATGGTGTTTGTTTCCCTGCCCAGAAGAGTTCACCTCACTTTCTGTCCCTGTGATAATTGAATTTTGAAGAATTTGGCTTGTTGTGGAAACAAGGATTGGAGATAAACCTTCAGTGGAGACACCTTTTCCTTATGATTACTTTTACAGGAGTGAATTTCCCTTCGGAGGGATACATTTCTCTCACTTCCTGTTGTCTCACCCTTGTTCTAAACTATGAGTAGTTCGTAAGTTGGAGGAACAAACAAAAGATATTAAAGTGTAAAGGCTGTTTCTGAAATGCCTCAGCATTCATGCAGGAAGAAGGCATCATTGATGGAGTTTGCAGACTTCTGTGCAATGCTACACAAATTTGGGTGCAATCTCAGTTAAAAACCATTCAAACACATTCAAAGTTAAAAACCACAGCACCCTCTGACTTGATCTTAAAAACCTTAAAATTGAGATTTGAGAAACTGGTAGACCTCATTACCAAATGAGGCAGTATTTTTAGTGATGTGGAGCAAAGTGAATTTAAGTCAAATACACAATGAAAGAAAGCCCAGATTTCAAATGTTGGGCCCCAATAACATCAGTATTTATGCCCTTGTTCAAGCAAAACTATAAAGCCCTCGTAGATTATTTTGACGTGTCAAGAATCATGAGAATTGCAATTCAGAGACATTCTGAAGGCAATGCCATATGCATTCAGATCAAACACATTTCCTTAGGTGTTCATTTATCTATACATAAAAAATTATGGTGAAATATTTTTCCAACTTCACTTAAGGCCCAAATTTCACAGTTTGCATGCAGACATACTGCCAGCCAAAAATGAAACCGTGCAGCTAGGGGAAACAGGTGGGGAAAAAACATATCAAAACATTTCTTCCAAACCCCTTATCAGAGTTTCATAAATATGCCTCAATATGCAGTTTCTAGCTAAGTTTCTCATTTTTCCTCTTGAGTGCCTTTACTGCAATACAGTTTTCTAACGAAAAGAATATTTACAACAGTCAAGATAGTGAGTGGTAAGGAAAACATTGGGTAATGGAGTGAAGAAAGCCCGGGGAATGGGTTTGTGAGGGGAAGCAAGAAGATTGTTTCACCACCCTGTACCAAAAATTGCAGAAACCCTTACCCTCGCAACATTTCAAATAAGTTCCTTTATTCCAGAAGCTACACTGTGGTGAATGCAGATGGAGCCATTAGAAATCCATACTTCCCCTGCAAAGTGTGAGCTATTCAAGAAGATGTGGCTCTGACTGGCAAATACTATATCCACCCACTATCCTATGTGTCTTATTTCATTAAGACAATCAAACACTGTGCTACTGCACAATATTGAGAGATTACAGGTGACTACAAGTGTAAGACAATACCCAGCTAATGACTACATTTTGCATGCTGCAAGTCGCTTCTGGAGTGAGAGAATCAGCCGTCTACAAAGAAGTTGCCTAGGGGACACCTGGATGTTACCCTGGACCGTTCTCTGATCTATAAGAAGCACTGTTTGAATATCAAGCAAAAAGTGGGTGATAGAAACAATATCATATGAAAGCTGACAGGCACATCCTGGGGATCACAATCAGATACAGTGAAGACATCTGCCCTTGCACTTTGATACTCTGCTGCTGAGTACGCATGCCCAGTGTGGAACACATCTCACCCTGTTAAAACAGTGGATGTGGCTCTTAATGAGACATGCCACATTATCACAGGCTGTCTCTGCCCTACACTACTGGAGAAATTACACTGACTAGCCGGTATTGCACCACCTGACATCCGCCAGGAAGTAGCAGGCAATAATGAAAGGACCAAGGCAGTGATATCTCTGGCCCATCCCCTATCCGGACATCAGCCAGCACGCCAACGCCTTAAATCAAGAAAGAGTTTTCTAAGATCTACAGAGATACTCTCAGCAAGTGAGAGTCCAAAAGTGGCAGGCTAAAACCCAGAACCTCAACCCATGGCTGATATGAAATGAGAGACTCCCTCCTGGGCACACAGAAGACTGGGCAACTTGGAAGGTGCTGAACACAAGATGCAGAGCCAATCTTAAGAAATGGGGCTACAAAGTGGAGTCCATGACATGTAAGTGTGGAGAAGAGCAAACCACAGACCACCTATTACAATGCACTCTGAGCCCTGCCACATGCACAGTGGAGGACCTTCTTATAGCAACGCCAGAGGCCCTCAAACTGCCCAGCTACTAGTCAAAGGACATTTAACAGAATGCCAAGTTTTGTGTTTTCTCAAATACATCACAACTGTACCCTTGATTCACTCCTGATACAATAAATAAATAAATAACATCCTGCAACGGGGAGGCTAAGAAGTGTCTCTGTCATTATTTTGCTGTATGCAGTAAAAGGCAAGTGAAATAGGGCCAACTCCATTGTGTATCACAATTGCAGTACATGTGGTACATACCTGCATTTCTAACAATTTAATCTCCATTACATTATTTACTATTTTTTTCTTATATTCAAAACCACTCATAAATGTTCTAGAGGCTAGGCAGGAGAACAGGAGAAAGGCAACACAAAATAAGCCTATGATAAAGTCACTACTAGTCAGTGATACCAAAGAGGAGAAGAGTCAGCATAGAGTAGTGGTCTTGAGTTTTGAACTCTGAGAAAAGATCATGATTCGATTCTCTGCTCAGCCATGGAAACCCATGGAATGACCTTGGGTGAGTCATACAATCTCAGTCCCAGCAAACTTCTTGAAAGCCATAAGGCAGAAATGACTTGAAGACACACAACAACAAACCAGTGAGGAGAACTTCCATGCTTATTTCCCCAAGCCAAAAATAAGCTAGTTGATGAGTCCAGGATTACTCAAAGTTTTAGTTATGGCTTTATTCCAGTGAAACAGTGTAGCCCATGACCTGCATATGCTCAAAACTGTTTTGTATGTTTCTATGCCCTTGTTATCTAACATTACACACACGCACAAATAAAAATTCTGCTTTTGAAAAACTTGGAAGAACTTTTAAAGGATGTTTTAGCAACAAGACTGCATTGTTACTAAAACAGTCAGGGTACAAGGAGGCATGTGTTTTAAAATGTCCAAAATTGGGAAAGGTTCAAGAATGATGTGCTCTGTTTCAGGACTTAATGCAGAAGCCAGGCTCTGCTCTATTCAGTGTAATGTGACTAAAATTGGGAATATTTCAATACTGGGGTAGTTGAGTATCAGAGACTAGCAAAATAGCTTGCCAAGTTAAAAAAGTTTAGTTTCTGATCATTTGCCTCCAACTAACTACACCTTTCAGCTTAGAAAAACTATTGACCACATTCTGTCCGGAGAAAGACAGGCTGGTTTGGTTTCAGCTCAGACATAACTGTTCTGTAGAAAAGAAATAACTGCTAGTTAAATTCTTCAAGATATGTACACTGCATCCTAACTAACCTAAAGGCACCAGATCCAATCTGATTGTAGAAGCTAAGCAGGGTCAGTCCTGGGCAATACTTGAATAGGAAACCTCCAGACACTGTAAGCCATATTTTAGAGGAGGAAATTGGCAAAACCACCTTTGAATATTTGTGTTGGAGCTCAGCCTGTGATTGTGTTTCAGGATCAGGGTGCTTTACATGTGGAGAGTGATGTCAATGAGTTGCAAGATGGCAATGGTTTGGTCAAGGATATTGATGCAGAGAATGACCAGGAGTTCCTTGTTCAAAGTTTAGTTTCCCATGAGAATGTCCCTGAGGGGTGTAGGGATGATGATGTGCTCTCTGAATTGTTACCAGAGAGTTCCCATGATAGGGAACATGAAAACAGCTAGGCACTTGGCCCAGCTGCAGAAATTAATGAGCAAATAGATAGACGGGAGGAGAACAGTCAAAACAGGAAAGCCTTGGTGTTCTGCCAGGCTCTGAGAGAAAAAGATAAGAAATTCTCAGCTAAAGAGAAATCAATTACTGAGCGCTAGAGACATAGCTAATGAGGAGATAAAAGTCTCAAGTACAGGATATGTAGTCAGATGAAGCATCGCTTGGAATCAAGTCAAGATCTCGTCCTTGTTTCATGGAAGCTTTGCTTGGAAAATTCATGTTTAAAGTGCCTTTGTTTCATGGTTTTGATTTTTGGATTCTATGCTTTTATATTCATGCCTTGGATCCATGTTTCCTGATTTCTTGCATTTTATTTGGGAAGTTTTGACTTTGTTTTTATGGACTTTGCTGGACTAAAACCCTGGACTACTTTGTTCCTGCTTATCTTCCTACCTAACTAGATTTACCTATTTCTTTAAAGTGCTTTTTTATTTTACTGCTTTTTAATTATCTTCAAGAAAAGGATTGTTTCCCTATCCAAAGGTGTGGTGTCTAAAGTCAGGGGGCTTTTCCTGTCCTGGAGTGCAACGATTTCTGCCTTACCTATAGCTTTAGTGCACTCCAATCTAAGTACTTATGCGGGCTGACCCTGCTTAGTTTCAAAGTTCAGGAGGAATTTGATGATCTTCAAAATACTCAGGTATCAGTGGAAAACATACATACATCTTTTTACTGCTGTTGATGCTGAGATTTGTAATCCAAATCAAGTCCTGGCAAAGAGAGGTGCTGTTCCACTATTTAGAAATGACTGCAGACTTCACCACCTCTGCCTTTCTCCCACCCAAGGTAAACCGAGGATGATTAACTAACTAAATAGTTGTACTTCTTTTAAAAATCAGCTGTATCCTTCAGGAAAAACAGCTTTATTTACCTGTTGCTGCCTTTGCCGCCTCATCTGTGACATCAAGATCTGCCGATCCAGTAATTCCATTCTCTGTTGCCTCTGTATGTCCACAGTTGCTCCCATTCCAACTCTGGTCTCACTGGATGGCTCTGTGGATGAGAAAATTGGCTCGAGAGTCCAAGCAAATATTCTTGCCACACCATTAGGTATACAAAGTACCTGGTACACTTTTAGCACACTGCTGCTGTAGCACATTCCAGAAATCTGAAAGTAAAAAAGAAATTTAAAATGTTTATCCCACAGTTATCAAAGGGATTTGTCGATAGGCGATACTGAAATACAATTTGTGCTTTCCTCTAGTATTGTATAATTTTCTCATAATCTAATCTGGGGTTCAAGAGATTGTTAGTTCAACTGCCAAGGCATCCCCCCCCCCCATGTAAACATTCACTTTATCGTTGTTCTCATCTAGATTGTATTCTATCATGAGTCTGTAATCAAGGATGTGGTTGTTAAGTAGTACAGGAAACAACCACAGCACTTTGAATGGAAAACTGATAAAAAAGGGATCAAAAAGGGATTAACACCCCAAAATTTGAAAGAGGAGACGGCATAACATCACCAAATAGTTACAAAAAGAAGTGGTTTGAATGTTTGTTGTGAAACCACCTAGTTACGGGACTTGGTGATCTTCATATTTCCATTTGACATGGTAGTGAAAACATCAAAATGAAAAAAAAAACAAAAAACAAGCTACCACATGCTAATGTTGGTGTGCTAATAAAGTGGTTAAGTGGCTTATGAAAGAAACAGTATATTTCTAAATGACAGAAAGCATTCAAGCAGTTCTTCCTCCCAATAAGACTATTTAGTATCTTTGTCAGCTACAGCGCAGGTCTTACGAATGTCTTAAACTTGTGTTTGAGCTACAGAACTTTAGACTATCCATAGCAATGGTTCTCAACCTGTGGCTCCCCAGGTGTTTTGGCCTACAAGTCTCAGAAATCCCAGCCAGTTTACCAGCTGTTAGGTTTTCGGGGAGTTGAAGGACAAAATATCTGGGGGCCCACAGGTTCTCAACTATTCAAATTATGAATTCAAATGCAGCACAATATACATATATATAATGAAACATATTCCTAATAATTGATGATCTGGAAGACACAAGGGCACAATACAATTGAATATGGGCAATCAGGCTGAGCAATTAGAAAGTAATTTACACATGGAATCTACATCAGATTTTGCAAGCTATGTTCACAGAAAAAGTGCTTAGAAATTACATAAATATTTTTTAAAAATTTTAAAAATCTTACTGGGTCACCACGGTACTGTCCAGCAGTTCTCCTGACATGTAAAAATAATACATTCGGATGTGGTGACTGCTGCGGTGGTGCTAGGTTGCTCAGGCATGGTTTTTATGCACCAGAAGGGCTGTTGGAGCAGTGCCACAGCAACCCCATAAGGGTTTTCAAATTTTTAAGGCTTTGCTGAGGGAGGGGGGTTGGGAAGGGGGTGGGCGCTATCACACGTCTTTGGGCTGCAGGAGTCCAAAAGGTGTGAGATGGGTGTGAGGATGGACGCCTGGGTAATCACGAGACTATCTGTGGGTTAACCCCCACAGAGCCCATACCCCATTCAACCCCGGACTTTCAGGACAACTCGGGTCTAATGGGGTATCAAAGTAATTTGGGACAAAGCAGGGTTGCCTGCTTTGTCCCGAATTAATCCACTTTTACCTGATTGGATGCATTTTGGGCCCTGTCTGGAAGGGTCCTGATTCTATTTTTAAAAGGCCCAATTATTTCTTGAGCTCAAACAGGAAAACTGAAACAAAGAAGTTATATCATAAATTGTTCATTTTTTTTACATTGCCTCTCCCACTCTGTAGATTTTTATTGTTCTTTTGCTATTTTTTTCTTAGTTTAATAAGGACGGGATATTTTTAAACATCTGAAATGAGTACATGCCTTGTGAATAATTTTCCATTTAAGATGGCAGTTGTATATGGCAAATAAGAGTAAGGGCATCTGTTTCTTCACCCAAGCTGTCTGGGAATCAGACACTGTTGGGCTGCTATTCCCATACAGAGATCTCTTCTGGATGTCTCTATAATCAAACTATCCACCCTGGGAAAGAGATAAGTCCTTCTCTAATTCATGCACTGGGCAGTTTTGCTGAAGAAGTACTTCACTTGTAGCACTGTGAATGAGGAAGGTTTATCCTTCCAAAAATTAATACAATGAATGTGGGTAATCAGACTTACTTTTTGTATTCATTTGGTTAAAAAAAAAAAAGGGGGGGGGGGGGGACAACAGCCAGCACAATATTTTATTTTCTCCTGTCAGCAAAAAAAAAAAAAAAAAAAAAAGGTTGACCTCGACCTTACAAAAGCAGAAATCAAACCAATGGTGTACTTCTCACTTCTGCTCTTTTGTTCTGAAGAGTTTCCATGAGCTAATATATGTTTTTGGAGATACAGTGTTAAAGAGGGACCACCTAAACCCATCCAAATCTACGTCCTGGATGCTTTCACTATATTCTGTCCATATAACACACTATAGGAAGGCCCCAGCTTGTTCCTGAACTTATCTCTCCAGCACATCTTATGAAGTATGAAAGAAGACTGAGGATGAGCTCCCTTTGTCAGCTCCAGTTCCCCATGCGGGGACATGAGAGAAGCCTCCCATAAGGATGGTAAAACATCGAAACATCCGGGCGTCCCCTGGGCAATGTCCTTGTAGATGGCCAATTCTCTCACACCAGAAGTAACTTTCAGTTTCTCAAGTCGCTCCTGACATAAGGGAAAAAAACTATTCCCAATTTGATATAAGAGGAAATAATATCAGAAGACTAATACCTGTATTATTCTGAAGCAGGCCTGCACAACCTGTAGCCCTCCAGATGTTTTGGACGTCATCTTCTAGAATTCCTGTTCATTGGACAAGCTGGCTAGGGTTTCTCCAACTCATGTTGGAGGCCACAGGTTGTACAGGTCTGTTCTAGAGTCATATATGCCAGTAGAGTTTGACATCAGTACTGATGGGTTTCTATTGGCATAAATATCTAGAATAAGAGAACGAAACCATGTGCTACATATTTCCCTTCAGTCCTTCAAGCATGTCCCCACACCAGTAATGGCATTTTAGTTACATTAGGAAGTCTTTTGACATTTAAAACTTCCCTTTTTTTTCTAGTCATGTTATAACCTAAAAGCCTCAGATGCATTCAGAAAAAAGCCTCAAAACATCCAAATACCACCTACTTTTCTTTCTACAAAATGTATTTCTTGAAATAGAAAAAAGGGGCCTTTACAGATTCCTTCACATACAATTGCATTCTAAACAAAGTAGATGAAATATTCATATTTTGTATCCGTTGTTCTCCTTATTCACAAAACTATTTAAAAGCACAGGGTAAGAGACAAATGTTTCCAAGATAAAACAAAATTGTAGACACAAAACTGTAGAATTGAAAGGGAAATTAAACCTTCACTTTCTGCTAATTCAGGAAATTCCATGTAGAAATTTACATTTACTATCTCATTTTGGGGTTGTTCTTTTGCATTCTTCCCACATTTAGTATTGCCTTGCATCTTGATTCTGACGTGAATCCTACTGTTAGCCTAATTGTGATATGATTTAGAACATATCACAAATTCACTGTATAAAACAGATTATCTTCTTTGAACTGTATTATATGGCAGTGTAGACTCAGATAATCCAGTTCAAAACAGATGTGGATTATCTGCCTTGATATTCTGGATTATATGGCAGTGTAGAAGGGCCCTTATTTAATTAATGGCATTTATTTACTTGGTGACTCGTTGGTCAACAATTGATTCAAAAGGTCTAAAATAGCTGGGATTAAGTAGTAGGAGACAGTATTATATCTTGTGACTTAACCATCCCACTTTGGTGTCATCTGAAAATGTGATGATGATTGTCTGTTTGAATCAGCTGTTGGAATTTAAGAGACCACTGAAGACCTATCACACCTGACAGGCTTATCCAGTCAATGTATAACTACGAATTTTTAACTCATGTCATGCGTTTATTTTAATCTTTGCTCTGTGTATTTTAAAATATGTATTTAATAAAAATCCATTTCAATATATGTATTTTACACAATGTTTTTTGGGGTGATGTGTTTTTAACTATGTTGTGCCCAGCCCCGAGGAGAAGCAGGGAAGAAATAAAATTATTATTTACCAAAATTGTGAACAACACGTAGACTTCTTCTACACTGCCATATAATCCCTACAAACCCCCCAGGAACTTAAGATCGTCTGGAGAGGCCCTGCTTTCGATCCCGCCTGCTTCGCAGGCACGTCTGGCGGGGACAAGAGACAGGGCCTTCTCTGTGGTGGCCCCCCCAGCTGTGGAACTCCCTCCCTAGGGATATTAGATCAGCCCCCTCCCTCCTGATTTTCCGAAAAAGAGTAAAAACTTAGCTCTTCGAGCAAGCATTCAGAACCCCGGAGTAAACAGACAAACTAGAGTTGGAAATTGACCCAGGAACGGCCAAGACAATGTAACGGATGAAGATTTGAACGAGAGGACATAGTTTCTTTTAAAATTGTTTATTATGCACTGTCGTTTATGTTTAATTGCACTTGATGTTTTTGCTTTATCAATGTATGTAATTTGTTTTGGCATCGAATTGTGCCAACTGTGTATACCGCCCTGAGTCGCCTTCGGGCTGAAATGGGCGGGATAGAAATAATGCAAATAAATAAATAAATAAATAAATAAATAATCCAGATCATTATCTGCTTTGAACTGGATTATATGACTCTATACTGCTATATAATCCAGTTCAAATCAGCCTAAACAGCCTTCTTATTACTCCTCTTCAAGATGAGAGGTAACCATCAGTAATCTCTATCAGATGACAGTTTGATCTGTCAAACTTTATAAACCACCCAATGGAAGCATCATCTAGTTTTATCAGCTTGTCTGCAAGAGTATCAGGACTGCAACTCTTAGCCTGCATCATTTATTCAATTTCCCACAGACGGAGCACCAATTCCCTTTTGGGAGAGGACAAAGCCAAAGCAGGTGATATCTGGCACAGAGACAATATCTTTTCTTTCTGTCACTCACTTTACTAGGACAAGGTCAAATATACTTCTATGGGTTTGTTTTTTACTCTTGCTGTCTAGTGGTCTGCACCCTCCCATACTTGCGCACAAAGAAAAAGGAAGTGGCTGTGGCTTTGTTTTCACTACTAATAAATCAAACAGACACTCTGCATTGACAGGC